TCACTTTCAACACATGCCCGCTCAAAAATAGATTTGATATGTAGCTACTACGAAATGCTGCATAACTGCTTATCCCAATAAGAGCTTCCAGAAAAACATTCCCTTGTAGAAATCAAACAACATTCGCAATAAACAACGCCTACATGGAGAATTCACGCCTCGGTAGGCTGCTTTTGAAATGGGAAGAAAATAGAAGAAAAGAAAAAACGCTATTGAAATTCGCTGACCTTTTCACATTTGGCAAAGTGTCCAGCTTTTTGCAATGTTTCAATCGTGGACGGCTATAAGTGCAGTCTTGGGCGCGTGAACAGGATGAACCTTCTGAAACATATCATTTACTCAAAGAAAAACTTTTTTGTAGAAGAAAAGGTATGCTAACCATAGATACTGCTATCCGAATGGCTTAGTTTGATATCTGACGCTGTTTTCACATCGCCAACAAACAGTTCACATTCTGAAGAAGGTTTGAATAACCTTTCCGATGCGGATTCATGAGCGTGATCGGAGTCATCAACTGGTGGTCGATCTGGCTCACCAGTTGTTGATGGCTCTCGCGTACCGCCAGGTGTCGGTGGCACAACTCGTCCAATGCTACAAACGAAGCTATTATCCACTGGATCCACTGACCAAATTGGGTATCCACAACAAAAACTGAAAATTAAATCGCTGAGAGAGTGCTCCTGACGCCTCTTCATAGTAGCGGCTGCCTCAGATTAAAGATTGGAAGTACGAAAAAAATCACAGCACAAGTGCTGATTAGAAAGTAACGCTGGCTACAGGCTATTAGGCACATAAAGAACCAAAAATAGCAAAAAAGGCACATAAATCAAGATCGAAATCACAATCTCCAAATTTTTCTTTTGCTCTTCGCCAAACAAGGACTATGAACTATGTGAGACAACAAAGTACGAAGCATGCGCGAATAAAAACTGTGCAGAAGTGCGTTTTCACCGCAATATTATACCCTTTGATTCAACGAGATTGGCGGCTGGAAGGCGACCGCT